TGGAGGGCACATGAACCAACTTGAACCTAACTTCTCCAAAAATAATGCAAGGTAGCTGAGCACGATTTTTTTTTTACCTAAGCGAGAGGGTGAGCCAACATAGCACTGCAGTAAGTTCTGTCTTGTTTGTTGATTTTGACTGACAACACAGTGTCAAGCTACAGTAAATGCCTACACAGATGACATCCACTGGAGTGAAGAACATGGGCTCCATCCTTCTCCAACCAAGAAATGGGATTCCACAAGCTCGGAAAATCGTTCCCAAAGCCAAAATTTTCCGGAAAATTCTGGCTTTGGGAAAAATTTTCTGGAGGCACATTTTCTGAAAACTAACGAGAACTTTTTTTCATTACCTGGAAAATTCTGGGGATGAGGGATTTTTTTCTGGCTTTGAGAGAGTCGTCTTGTTACCCAGAAATCTCTGTAGCTCTTCTTACTGCTATTTCAACAGGAACTATTGGCGAGAAAATTTTTTGTGACAGAAATTACATTCTCACTGTTTTAACTACAGTGCTGTACAGTACTAAGTTGTTTGTGTCAGGTACCGAGTGAGAGCTTTTTCAAGACATGACTAACTCTAGTGCAGGTACAGGTACTGTACATTCAGGAGCCAGTGCATGCCAACAGTGCTTAGCAGAGACGTGATCGACCACTCAAGCGGCTAATGAGTCTATCAGTGGCGAAGAGGATAAAAGTAAAGTAAAGTAGTAAACTGTTATAGCGATGTAGTAATTTTAAACTCATTGCTACTTGTATTGGTTTGGCTGACACAAGGGAACTGAGAAATAAAAATATTACTGTATTTTATTAACTGATATATAATCTATGATGATACATGAATAATTACTGTAGTTAAAAGTGATTTCAACAACATTAGAAGGTACATCTTGTCAGTACTGTACTGTAGGAGTACATCAAGACACAGATTAGATAACATGTTATGGTTTACAGATCTGTGACAATTTATTGATGGAAATCAAATTGCAGAGTGCAGGACTGGATGTAAAAAGGAACAATACCGGATAAGAAAGTTATAAGATTAGGCTCAAAAAGGTTTGTATGGTAAACTTTACTCCTTAACTGGTTGGTTTGGGCAAAAAGCAGAATATTTATTTTAAAACATTGCTCCAGAATTACACTGAGACTTTATTTTAGCCAGATACATTTACCGTACCTAGTATTATATCAGACATTTAACTTATCCTCTTCAAAGTCTGCCACTGGTCGGCTCTCTGAACATGCACCAGTGTTGATCAAGTCTGGCCTTAGGTGAGCTCATAATTAGGAAAAAAAAAGATTCTGTAACTTAGCTGTGTCTCCAAACTGTCATTAAGTGAATGTATTTACTGTATTTAGGGTAGGGTTTCAGTAAAATTTTTATTTAATTTTTTGAATTTGCTGAAGGCAACTGATAAGGTACATTCTAACATTGTCTTTCCCTTATGAACCTACTATATGTAAATCCAGACCTTGGATTTTAGATTGGATATATAGTGCTGTAGAGTACTGGAAAAACATAAGACTTGGTAAGATGAACAAAATAAATATCAACTGGTGTTGATGATAATGTACTACCTAGAAAATCCATTAAGGTGTAGAAATGTAATGAAATACTGTACAGTATACTGTATTGATAATATAATGTTATAATAAGTGTATTATGAGTCTATGTGTAAAGTTCTCTTTATTTCATCAAAGGAAGTGTAATTCATGGGTATGGTTACAAAACAAAATTTGGAGTTTATTCCTATAAGAGCTATGGATATACAGCCTACAGAATGAACGTTTTTATAGTTCACAATGTTGTAGTATCCAAGAAATTGTTTTATCTTGGACGAAGATAATAATTTTTTGTCAGAAAATGTATTTGTATATTTTTAATGTGCTTTGGAGTTTGTAAATACATGATTTTCATGTACTGAATGTCTGTGTATACATGTGTTTGTGTGAATATCTGGCATCAGTATGTCAGTATGCAGTATGTCAATATTCCACTTGTAAGTGAAATCTTGTTGCATGCAATGGTTTGTGTTCGTTATACAGTACAGTATTTCATATCATAGAGAGTTTTCCAGCAGCAGTGATTCACTAGTTAATGAAATACTGTACTGTTGCTCAGTAATTAATGATAAATCTCTCTCAAGATTCTTGTTTTTCGAACATTGTTGTACAGTGTGCCTATACTGTACTATACTTGTGATTCTGTGAAGTCTTGATGCTAGGCACGGCTGTTAAGAGAGTGAATATGAGCAGGTGGATACATAAATAATAGAATGGATTCCTCTCTTGAATTTCTCTTTTATATATGTTGTTGATAAAAGATGTACCAGATATTAAAAATAAGATACAGGTACAGTACTTGATTGCTGGTGTGGGGACGCCACCAACCCTGGTAGAGCCACTGGGGGCACCACAGCCCCTGACAGGGCCCCTTGTAGGGCCCCTGGGAGCGCCAACACCCCTGGGAGAGCCCCTGAAGGCGTCTCACATGGTAGGGCAAATGGGAAGGCCCCAGGGGGAACTGTCACTGTAGGAACCCTGGGGGCAGCTGTTAATGCACACTTAGAACAATTTGGATATATGAATAGATACACCGCCCATCGCATTTCCAGTATCATCGCATGAAAAACAATGTAAAGGAGAATAAATATCCAACAGGAAAATATAAATTGGGGTGTTGTGCTGACTGACTGTACTTCTCTCCTATTGGCTGTTATGTGGTGCATTTACATTTAAGTCCACCAATCACAGTCAAGGAAGGGATTGCTGGACGTATGCAATATGTACGACACCACTACCAAAAGCTATAGGGTTCCTGGGAGGGGGCGCCTCTGTTAGGGCCCCTGAGAGGGCCCGTGGGGCATCGCTGCCCTTAAGGGGAGCCCCTGGGGGCGCTGCTGCCTATACGAAGAGCCCGTTGGGGCGTCGTTGCCCCTTGACAGGCTTCTGAGGGTGCTACCAGCCCTGAGAGGTCCCCTGAAGTCGCCGCTGCAGCTGGGAGGGGCCCTGTGGGCGCCAACGCCCGTGGGAAAGCCACTAAGTACGCCACCATCCTTGGGAGGGTCACTGGGGGCACCGTTGCTCCTGGGAGATTGCCTGAGAGCGCCGCGACCTCTGAGAATTCCCCTGGGGGCGCCGTCGCCTTTAAATGGTCCCCTGCAGGCGCAGTTTTCCCTGGGAGGGCGCCGGGGTGATCCGTCGCTCTTGGGATAGCCTTTGGGGGCGAGGTCGCCCTTGGGATAGCCTTTGGGGGCGAGGTCGCCCTTGGGAGGATCCCTGGGAGCACAACCGCCTCTGGGAGGTCCCGTGGGGACGCCACCACCCTTGGTAAGGCCACTGGGTGCTCCACATGCCCATGACAGGGCCCCTTGTAGGGCCTCTTGGAGTGCCAACACCCCTGGGAGAGCCCCTGAAAGCGTCGCATTTGGTAGGGCAAATGGGAAGGCCCCAGGGGGAACTGTCACTGTAGGGACCCCGGGGGCAGCTGTTTATGCACATTTAGAACAATGGGATATATGAATAGATACACCTACCATCGCATTTCCAGTATCATCGCATGAAAAACAATGAAAAGGAGAATAAATATCCAACAGGAAAACATAAATTGGGGTGTTGGGCTGACTGACTGTTCTTCTCTCCTATTGGCTGTTATTTGGTGGATTTACATTTTAGTCAACCAATCACAGTTAAGTAAGGGATTGCTGGACGTAAGCAATATGTACGACACCACGAGCAAAAGCTATAGGGTTCCTGGGACGGGGCGCCTCTGTTAGGGCCCCTGGGAGGGCCCCTGGGGCATCGCTGCTCCCAAGGAGAGCCGCTGGGGGCGCTGCTGCCCATACAAAGAGCCCCTGGGGGCGTCGTTGCCCCTTGATAGGCCTCTGAGGGTGCAACCAGCCCTGAGGTCGCCGCTGCAGCTGGGAGGGCCCTTGTGGGGGTGCCACCGCCCCTGGAAGAGCCCCTAAGTATGCCACCATCCTTCGGAGGGCCCCTGTGGGCGTCACTACCCCAGGGAGAGCCCATAAGTACGCCATCATCCTTGGGAGGGCCCCTAAGGAGCACCGTTGCTCTTGAGAGGTACCCTGGGAATGCCACTACCTCTGGGAATTCCCCCGGGGGTGCGCCGTCGCCCCTACGTGGGCCCCTGCGCACACAGTTTCTCCTGGGAGGGCCCCGGGGGGCTTCATCGCCCTTGGGATAGCCTTTTGGGGCGAGGTCGCCCTTGGGAGGGTCCCTGGAGGCGCAACCTCCTCTGGGAGGGCCTGTGGGGGCGCCACCAACCCTGGTAGGGCCACTGGGGGCACCCCTTTTAGGGCCCCTGGGAGCGCCAACACCCCTGGGAAAGCGCCTGAAGGCGTCGCATATGGTAGGGCAAATGGGAAGGCCCCAGGGGGAACTGTCACTGTAGGGACCCTGGGAGCAGCTGTTTATGCACATTTAGAACAATGAGGTATATGAATAGACACACCGACAATCGCATTTCCAGTATCATCATCACATGAAAAACAATGAAAAGGAGAATAAATATCCAACAGGAAAACATAAATTAGGGTGTTGTGCTGACTGACTGTTCTTCTCTCCTATTGGCTGTTATTTGGTGGATTTACATTTTAGTCCACCAATCACAGTTAAATAAGGGATTGCTGGACGTAAGCAATATGTACGACACCACGAGCAAAAGCTATAAGGTTCCTGGGAGGGGGCGCCTCTCTCTGGAGCATCGCTGCCCATAAGGAGAGCCCGTAGGGGAGCTGCTGCCCATACGAAGAACCCCTGTGGACGTTGTTGCCCCTTGACAGGCCTCTGAGGGTGCAACCAGCCCTGAGAGGTCCCCTGAGGTCGCCGCTGCAGCTGGGAGACCCCTATGGGCGCCACCTCCACTGGGAGAGCCCCTAGGTAAGCCACCATCCTTGGGAGGGCCCCTGGGGGCACCGATGCCCCTGGGTGGTGCCCTGGGTGCGCCGCTACCTCTGGGAATTCCCCTGGGGGCGCCGTCGCCCCTAAGTGGCTCCTGCGGGTGCCGTCGCCCCTAAGTGGCCCCTGCGGGCACAGTTTTCCCTGGTAGGGCCCCGGGGTGGTCCGTCGCCCTTGGGATAGCCTTTGGGGGCGACGTCGCCCTTGGGATAGCCTTTGGGGGCGACGTCGCCCTTGGGATAGCCTTTGGGGGCGACGTCGCCCTTGGGATAGCCTTTGGGGGCGACGTCGCCCTTGGGATAGCCTTTGGGGGCGCAACCGCCTCCGGGAGGGCACGTTGGGACGCCACCACCCCTGGTAAGGCCACTGGGGACTCCACATGCCCCTGACAGGGCCCCTTGTAGGGCCCCTGGGAGAACCAACACCCCAGGGAGAGCCCCTGAAGGCGTCGCATATGGTAGGGCAAATGGGAAGGCCCCAGGGGGAACTGTCACTGTAGGGACCCTGGGAGCAGCTGTTTATGCACATTTAGAACAATGAGGTATATGAATTAATACACCGACCATCGCATTTCCAGTATCATCGCATGAAAAACAATGAAAAGGAGAATAAATATCCAATAGGAAAACATAAACCGGGGTGTTGTGTTGACTGACTGTTCATCTCTCTTATTGGCTGTTATTTGGTGGATTTACATTTTATTCGACCAATCACAGTTAAGTAAGGGATTGCTGGACGTAAGCAATATGTACGACACCACGAGCAAAAGCTATAGGGTTCCTGGGACGGGGCGCCTCTGTTAGGGCCCCTGGGAGGGCCCCTGGGGCATCGCTGCTCCCAAGGAGAGCCGCTGGGGGCGCTGCTGCCCATACAAAGAGCCCCTGGGGGCGTCGTTGCCCCTTGATAGGCCTCTGAGGGTGCAACCAGCCCTGAGAGGCACCCTGAGGTCGCCGCTGCAGCTGGGAGGGCCCTTGTGGGGGTGCCACCGCCCCTGGAAGAGCCCCTAAGTATGCCACCATCCTTCGGAGGGCCCCTGTGGGCGCCACTACCCCAGGGAGAGCCCATAAGTACGCCATCATCCTTGGGAGGGCGCCTAAGGAGCACCGTTGCCCTCGAGAGGTACCCTGGGAATGCCACTACCTCTGGGAATTCCCCCGGGGGTGCGCCGTCGCCCCTACGTGGGCCCCTGCGCACACAGTTTCTCCTGGGAGGGCCCCGGGGGGCTTCATCGCCCTTGGGATAGCCTTTTGGGGCGAGGTCGCCCTTGGGAGGGTCCCTGGAGGCGCAACCTCCTCTGGGAGGGCGTGTGGGGGCACCACCAACCCATGTAGGGGCACTGGGGGCACCCCTTTTAGGGCCCCTGTGAGCGCCAACACCCCTGGGAAAGCGCCTGAAGGCGTAGCATATGGTAGGGCAAATGGGAAGGCCCCAGGGGGAACTGTCACTGAAGGGACCCTGGAGACAGCTGTTTATGCACATTTAGAACAATGGGATATATGAATAGATACACTGCCCATCGCATTTCCAGTATCATCGCATGAAAAACAATGAAAAGGAGATTAAATATCCAACAGGAAAACATAAACCGGGGTGTTGTGCTGACTGACTGTTCTTCTCTCCTATTGGCTGTTATTTGGTGGATATACATTTTAGTCCACCAATCACAGTTAAATAAAGGATTGCTGGACGACACCACGAGCAAAAGCTATAGGGTTCTTGGGAAGGGGCGCCTCTCTTAGGGCCCCTGGGAGGGCCCCTTTGGCATCGCTGCCCATAAGGAGAGCCCCTGGGGGCGCTGCTGCCCATACAAAGAGCCCCTGGGGGCGTCATTGCCCCTTGATAGGCCTCTGAGGGTGCAACCAGCCCTGAGAGGCCCCCTGAGGTCTCCACTGCAGCTGGGAGGGCCCTTGTAGGCGACACCGCCCCTGGAAGAGCCCCTAAGTATGCCACCATCATTGGGAGTGCCCCTGGGGGCACCGGTGCCCCTGGGTGGTGCACTGGGAGCGCAACTACCTCTGGGAATTCCCCTGGGGATGCCATCGCCCCTAAGTGGGCCCCTGCAGGCGCAGTTTCCCCAGGGAGGGCCCCGGGGACCTCCGTCGCCCCTGGGATAGCCTTTGGGAGCGAGGTCGCCATTGGGAGGGTCGCTGGGGGCGCAACCACCTCTGGGAGGGCTTGTGGGGGCGCCACCATCCCTGGTAGGACCACTGGGGGCATCGCAGCCCCTGAGAGGGCCCCTTGTAGGGCCCCTGGGAGCGCCAACCCCCCTGGGAGAGCCCCTGAAGCTGTCGCATATGGTAGGGCAAAATGGAAGGGCCCACGGGGAACTGTCACTGGAGGAACCCTGGGGACAGCTGTTTTTGCACACTTAGAACAATGGGATATATGAATAGATACACCGCCCATCGCATTTCCAGTATCATCGCATGAAAAACAATGAAAAGGAGAATAAATATCCAACAGGAAAACATAAATTGGGGTGTTGTGCTGACTGACTGTTCTTCTCTCCTATTGGCTGTTATTTGGTGGGTTTACATTTTAGTCAACCAATCACAGTTAAGTAAGTGATTGCTGGACGTATGCAATATGTAAGACACCACGACCAAAAGCTATAGGGTTCCTGGGACGGGGCGCCTCTCTTAGGGCCCCTGGGAGGGCCCCGGGGGCCTCCATCGCCCCTGGGATAGCCTTTGGGAGCGAGATCGCCATTGGGAGGGTCCCTGGGGGCGCAACCGCCACTGGGAGGGCCTGTGGGGGCGCCACCATCCATAGTAGGGCTACTGGGGGCATCACAGCCCCTGACAGGGCCCCTTGTAGGGCCCCTGGGAGCGCCAACCCCCCTGGGACAGCCCCTGAAGCTGTCGCCTATGGTAGGGCAAATGGGAAGGCCGCACAGGGAACTGTCACTGTAGGGTCCCCGAGGCAGCAGTTTTTGCACATTTAGAACAATGGGATATATGAATAGATACACCGCCCATCGCATTTCCAGTATCATCGCATGAAAAACAATGAAAAGGAGAATAAATATCCAACAGGAAAACATAAATTAGGGTGTTGTGCTGACTGACTGTTCTTCTCTCCTATTGGCTGTTATTTGGTGGATTTACATTTTAGTCAACCAATCACAGTTAAGTAAGGGATTGCTGGACGTAAGCAATATGTACGACACCACGAGCAAAAGCTATAGGGTTCCTGGGACGGGGCGCCTCTGTTAGGGCCCCTGGGAGGGCCCCTGGGACATCGCTGCCCTTAAGGAGAGCCCCTGGGGGCGCTGCTACCCATACAAAGAGCCCCTGTGGACGTCGTTGCCCCTGAGAGGTACCCTGGGAATGCTGCTACCTCTGAGAATTCCCCTGGGGGCGCCGTCGCCTCGAATTGGGCCCCTGAGAGCGCAGTTTCCCCTGGGAGGGCCCCGGAGGTCTCCGTCATCCCTAGGATAGCCAGTGGGAGGCGAGGTCGCCCTTGGGTGGGTCCCTGGAGGACCAACCGCCTCTGGAAGGGCCTGTGGGTGCGCCACCGACCCTGGTAGGGCCACTGAGGGCTCCACAGCCCCAGACAGGGCCCCTTGTAGGGCCCCTGGGAGAGCCAACACCCCTGGGAGAGCCAACACCCCTGGGAGAGCCCCTGAAGCCGTTTCATATGATAGGGCAAATGGGAAGGCCCCAGGGGGAACAGTCACTGTAGTGTCCCCGAGGCAGCTATTTATGCACATTTAGAACAAGGGGATATATGAATAGATACACCTACCATCGCATTTCCAGTATCATCGCATGAAAAACAATGAAAAGGAGAATAAATATCCAACAGGAAAACATAAATTGGGGTGTTGTGCTGACTGACTGTTCTTCTCTCCTATTGGCTGTTATTTGGTGGATTTACATTTTAGTCCACCAATCACAGTTAATTAAAGGATTGCTGGATGTATGCAATATGTACGACCCCACGACCAAAAGCTATAGGGTTCCTGGGATGGAGCGCCTCTGTTAGGACCTCTGGGAGGGCCCGTGGGGCATCTCTGCCCTTAAAGAGAGCCCCTGGGGGCTCTGCTGCCCATACAAAGAGCCCCTGGTGGCATCGTTGCCCCTTGAAAGGCCTCTCGGGGTGCAACCAGCCATAAGCCGTCCCCTGAGGTCGCCGCTACAGCTGGGAGGGCCCCTGTGGGCGACACTGCCCGTGAGAGAGCCCTTAAGTACGCCACCATCTTGTGAGGGCCCATGGGGGCACCGTTGCCCCTGGAAGTTTTCCTGGGAGAACTGCTACCTCAGGGAATTCCCGTGGCGGCGCCGTCACCCCTAAATGGGCCTCTGCGGGCGCAGTTTCCCCTGGGAGGGCCCCGGGGTGCTCCTTCCCCCTTGGGATAGCCTTTGGGGGCAAGGTCGCCCTTAGGAGGATTCCTGGGAGCGCAACCGCCTCTGGAAGGGTCTGTGAGGGCGCCGCCATCCTTGGTAGGGTCACTGGGGGCACCATAGCCCCTGACAGGGCCTCCTTATAGGTTCCCTAGAAGCACCAACCCCCCTAGGAGAGCCCCTGAAGCTGTCGCATATGGCAGGGCAAATGGGAAGGCCCCAGGGGGAACTGTCACTGTAGGGACCCTGGAGACAGCTGTTTATGCACATTTAGAACAATGGGATATATGAATAGATACACTGCCCATCGCATTTCCAGTATCATCGCATGAAAAACAATGAAAAGGAGATTAAATATCCAACAGGAAAACATAAACCGGGGTGTTGTGCTGACTGACTGTTCTTCTCTCCTATTGGCTGTTATTTGGTGGATATACATTTTAGTCCACCAATCACAGTTAAATAAAGGATTGCTGGACGACACCACGAGCAAAAGCTATAGGGTTCTTGGGAAGGGGCGCCTCTCTTAGGGCCCCTGGGAGGGCCCCTTCGGCATCGCTGCCCATAAGGAGAGCCCCTGGGGGCGCTGCTGCCCATACAAAGAGCCCCTGGGGGCGTCATTGCCCCTTGATAGGCCTCTGAGGGTGCAACCAGCCCTGAGAGGCCCCCTGAGGTCTCCACTGCAGCTGGGAGGGCCCTTGTGGGCGACACCGCCCCTGGAAGAGCCCCTAAGTATGCCACCATCATTGGGAGTGCCCCTGGGGGCACCGGTGCCCCTGGGTGGTGCACTGGGAGCGCAACTAACTCTGGGAATTCCCCTGGGGATGCCATCGCCCCTAAGTGGGCCCCTGCAGGCGCAGTTTCCCCAGGGAGGGCCCCGGGGACCTCCGTCGCCCCTGGGATAGCCTTTGGGAGCGAGGTCGCCATTGGGAGGGTCGCTGGGGGCGCAACCACCTCTGGGAGGGCTTGTGGGGGCGCCACCATCCCTGGTAGGACCACTGGGGGCATCGCAGCCCCTGACAGGGCCCCTTGTAGGGCCCCTGGGAGCGCCAACCCCCCTGGGAGAGCCCCTGAAGCTGTCGCATATGGTAGGGCAAAATGGAAGGGCCCACGGGGAACTGTCACTGGAGGAACCCTGGGGACAGCTGTTTTTGCACACTTAGAACAATGGGATATATGAATAGATACACCGCCTATTGCATTTCCAGTATCATCGCATGAAAAACAATGAAAAGGAGAATAAATATCCAACAGGAAAACATAAATTGGGGTGTTGTGCTGACTGACTGTTCTTCTCTCCTATTGGCTGTTATTTGGTGGATTTACATTTTAGTCAACCAATCACAGTTAAGTAAGTGATTGCTGGACGTATGCAATATGTAAGACACCACGACCAAAAGCTATAGGGTTCCTGGGACGGGGCGCCTCTCTTAGGGCCCCTGGGAGGGCCCCGGGGGCCTCCATCGCCCCTGGGATAGCCTTTGGGAGCGAGATCGCCATTGGGAGGGTCCCTGGGGGCGCAACCGCCACTGGGAGGGCCTGTGGGGGCGCCACCATCCATGGTAGGGCTACTGGGGGCATCACAGCCCCTGACAGGGCCCCTTGTAGGGCCCCTGGGAGCGCCAACCCCCCTGGGACAGCCCCTGAAGCTGTCGCCTATGGTAGGGCAAATGGGAAGGCCGCACAGGGAACTGTCACTGTAGGGTCCCCGAGGCAGCAGTTTTTGCACATTTAGAACAATGGGATATATGAATAGATACACCGACCATCGCATTTCCAGTATCATCGCATGAAAAACAATGAAAAGGAGAATAAATATCCAACAGGAAAACATAAATTAGGGTGTTGTGCTGACTGACTGTTCTTCTCTCCTATTGGCTGTTATTTGGTGGATTTACATTTTAGTCAACCAATCACAGTTAAGTAAGGGATTGCTGGACGTAAGCAATATGTACGACACCACGAGCAAAAGCTATAGGGTTCCTGGGACGGGGCGCCTCTGTTAGGGCCCCTGGGAGGGCCCCTGGGACATCGCTGCCCTTAAGGAGAGCCCCTGGGGGCGCTGCTACCCATACAAAGAGCCCCTGTGGACGTCGTTGCCCCTGAGAGGTACCCTGGGAATGCTGCTACCTCTGAGAATTCCCCTGGGGGCGCCGTCGCCTCGAATTGGGCCCCTGAGAGCGCAGTTTCCCCTGGGAGGGCCCCGGAGGTCTCCGTCATCCCTAGGATAGCCAGTGGGAGGCGAGGTCGCCCTTGGGTGGGTCCCTGGAGGACCAACCGCCTCTGGAAGGGCCTGTGGGTGCGCCACCGACCCTGGTAGGGCCACTGAGGGCTCCACAGCCCCAGACAGGGCCCCTTGTAGGGCCCCTGGGAGAGCCAACACCCCTGGGAGAGCCAACACCCCTGGGAGAGCCCCTGAAGCCGTTTCATATGATAGGGCAAATGGGAAGGCCCCAGGGGGAACAGTCACTGTAGTGTCCCCGAGGCAGCTATTTATGCACATTTAGAACAAGGGGATATATGAATAGATACACCTACCATCGCATTTCCAGTATCATCGCATGAAAAACAATGAAAAGGAGAATAAATATCCAACAGGAAAACATAAATTGGGGTGTTGTGCTGACTGACTGTTCTTCTCTCCTATTGGCTGTTATTTGGTGGATTTACATTTTAGTCCACCAATCACAGTTAATTAAAGGATTGCTGGATGTATGCAATATGTACGACCCCACGACCAAAAGCTATAGGGTTCCTGGGATGGAGCGCCTCTGTTAGGACCTCTGGGAGGGCCCGTGGGGCATCTCTGCCCTTAAAGAGAGCCCCTGGGGGCTCTGCTGCCCATACAAAGAGCCCCTGGTGGCATCGTTGCCCCTTGAAAGGCCTCTCGGGGTGCAACCAGCCATAAGCCGTCCCCTGAGGTCGCCGCTACAGCTGGGAGGGCCCCTGTGGGCGACACTGCCCGTGAGAGAGCCCTTAAGTACGCCACCATCTTGTGAGGGCCCATGGGGGCATCGTTGCCCCTGGAAGTTTTCCTGGGAGAACTGCTACCTCAGGGAATTCCCGTGGGGGCGCCGTCACCCCTAAATGGGCCTCTGCGGGCGCAGTTTCCCCTGGGAGGGCCCCGGGGTGCTCCTTCCCCCTTGGGATAGCCTTTGGGGGCAAGGTCGCCCTTAGGAGGATTCCTGGGAGCGCAACCGCCTCTGGAAGGGTCTGTGAGGGCGCCGCCATCCTTGGTAGGGTCACTGGGGGCACCATAGCCCCTGACAGGGCCTCCTTATAGGTTCCCTAGAAGCACCAACCCCCCTAGGAGAGCCCCTGAAGCTGTCGCATATGGCAGGGCAAATGGGAAGGCCCCAGGGGGAACTGTCACTATAGGGACCCTGGAGACAGCTGTTTATGCACATTTAGAACAATGGGATATATGAATAGATACACTGCCCATCGCATTTCCAGTATCATCGCATGAAAAACAATGAAAAGGAGATTAAATATCCAACAGGAAAACATAAACCGGGGTGTTGTGCTGACTGACTGTTCTTCTCTCCTATTGGCTGTTATTTGGTGGATATACATTTTAGTCCACCAATCACAGTTAAATAAAGGATTGCTGGACGACACCACGAGCAAAAGCTATAGGGTTCTTGGGAAGGGGCGCCTCTCTTAGGGCCCCTGGGAGGGCCCCTTCGGCATCGCTGCCCATAAGGAGAGCCCCTGGGGGCGCTGCTGCCCATACAAAGAGCCCCTGAAAGCGTCATTGCCCCTTGATAGGCCTCTGAGGGTGCAACCAGCCCTGAGAGGCCCCCTGAGGTCTCCACTGCAGCTGGGAGGGCCCTTGTGGGCGACACCGCCCCTGGAAGAGCCCCTAAGTATGCCACCATCATCGGGAGTGCCCCTGGGGGCACCGGTGCCCCTGGGTGGTGCACTGGGAGCGCAACTACCTCTGGGAATTCCCCTGGGGATGCCATCGCCCCTAAGTGGGCCCCTGCAGGCGCAGTTTCCCCAGGGAGGGCCCCGGGGACCTCCGTCGCCCCTGGGATAGCCTTTGGGAGCGAGGTCGCCATTGGGAGGGTCGCTGGGGGCGCAACCACCTCTGGGAGGGCTTGTGGGGGCGCCACCATCCCTGGTAGGACCACTGGGGGCATCGCAGCCCCTGACAGGGCCCCTTGTAGGGCCCCTGGGAGCGCCAACCCCCCTGGGAGAGCCCCTGAAGCTGTCGCATATGGTAGGGCAAAATGGAAGGGCCCACGGGGAACTGTCACTGGAGGAACCCTGGGGACAGCTGTTTTTGCACACTTAGAACAATGGGATATATGAATAGATACACCGCCTATTGCATTTCCAGTATCATCGCATGAAAAACAATGAAAAGGAGAATAAATATCCAACAGGAAAACATAAATTGGGGTGTTGTGCTGACTGACTGTTCTTCTCTCCTATTGGCTGTTATTTGGTGGATTTACATTTTAGTCAACCAATCACAGTTAAGTAAGTGATTGCTGGACGTATGCAATGTATAGACACCATGACCAAAAGCTATGGGGTTCCTGGGACGGGCGCCTCTCTTAGGGCCTGGGAGACTGAGGGGCCTCCATCGCCCCTGGGATAGCCTTGGGAACCAAAAGTGCCCTTAGGAGGGTCCCGGGGGCGCAACCGCCTCTGGGAGGGTCTGTGGGGGCGCCATCATCCTTGGTAGGGCCACTGGGGGCACCAGCCTGACAGGAGCCCCTAGCAAGGCCCCTGGGAGCCTCAACCCCTGGGACAGCCCTGAAGCTGTCGCCTATGGTAGGGCAAATGGGAGGAGGCCACGAGGAACTGTCACTGTAGGGTCCCAGGCAGCAGTTTTTGCACATTTAGAACAATGGGATATATGAATAGATACATCCATTCCCAGTATCATCGCATGAAAAACAATGAAAAAGAGATTAAATATCCAACAGAAAACCTAAATTAGGGTGTTGTGCTGACTGACTGTTCTTCTCTCCTATTGGCTGTTATTTGGTGGATTACATTTTAGTCAACCAATCACAGTTAAGTAAAGGATTGCTGGACGTAAGCAATATGTACGACACCACGAGCAAAGCTATAGGGTTCCTGGGACGGGGCGCCTCTGTTAGGGCCTCGGAGGCCCCTGGGACATCGCTGCCCTTAAGGAGAGAGCCCTGAAATCTCTACCCATACAAAAGAGCCCTGTGGACGTCGTTGCCCTAGAGAGGTACCCTGGGAATGCTGCTACCTCTGAGAATTCCCTGGAGCGCCGTCGCCTCAATTGGGCCCCTGAGGCGCAATTTCCTGGGAGGGCCCGGAGGTCTCCGTCATCCCTAGGATAGCCAGTGGGAGGCAGGTCGCCCTTGGTGAGTCCCTGGAGGACCAACCGCCTCTGGAAGGGCACTGTGGGTGCCACCACCGACCTGGTAGGGCCACTGAGGCTCCACAGCCCCAGACAGGGCCTTGTGGGACCCTGGGAAGCCAACACCTGGGGGAAAGCAACACCCTGGGAGAGCCCTGAAGCCGTTTCATATGATAGGGCAAATGGGAAGGCCCAGGGGAACAGTACTATGAAGTGTCCCGAGGCAGCCAGTTTTGCACATTTAGAACAATGGGATATATAGATACCGCCTATTGCATTTCCAGTATCATCACAGAAAAACAATGAAAAGGAAAATAAATATCCAACAGGAAAACATAAATTGGGGTGTTGTGCTGACTGACTGTTCTTCTCTCCTATTGGCAGTTATTTGGTGGTTACATTTTAGTCAACCAATCACAGTTAATTAAGTGATTGCTGGGATGTTGCAATATGTACGACACCGACCAAAAGCTATAGGTTGCTGGGAGGCGCCCCTGCTGGGAGGCCTGGGCATCCTGCACATAAGGAGAGCCCTGAAATGCTGCCCATACAGGCTGGTGGTTGCACCAGCACTCAGGGTGTATGCAGTCCTCAGAGGTCCACTGAGGTCGCTGCTCCAGCTGGGAGGGCCCCTGTGTGCGCCACTGCCCCAGGGAGAGCCCGTAAGTATGCCATCATCCTTGGGAGGGCCCCTAAGTGGCACCGTTGCCCCTGAGAGGTACCCTGGGTATGCCGCTACCTCTGGGAATTCCCCTGGGGGCTGCCGTCTCATGATTGGGCCCCTGAGGGCGTAGTTTCCTGGGAGGGTCCCAGTCCGTCTCCCCTGGGATAGCCTTTGGGAGCGAGGTCGCCCTTGGGAGGGTCCTGGGGCGCAACCCCCTCTGGGAGGGCCTGGGGGCGCCACCATTCACAGTGAGTGGACCACAGCCCCTGACAGGGCCCCTTCATAGGCCCCTGGGAGCGCCAACACCTCTGGGAGAGCCCCTGAAGCCGTCTCATATGGTAGGGCAAATGGGAAGGCCCCAGGGAACTGTCACTTGTAGGGACCCCGGGGGCTGCTGTTTTTGCACATTTAGAACAATGGGATATATGAATAGATACACATATGCATTTCCAGTATCATCGCATGAAAAACAATGAAAAAGGAAGAAAAATCCAACAGGAAAACATAAATTGGGGTGTTGCTGACTGACTGTTCTTCTCTCCTATTGGCTGTTATTTGACGGATTTAAGTCCACCAATCACAGTTAAGTTAAGGTTGCTCGGCGTATGCAATATGCACGACACCATGACCAAAAGGTAAGGTTCAGGCTCATTAGGGCCCCTGGGAGTGAGCATTGCTGCCCTAAGGAAGCCCCTGGTGGCGTTGCTGCCCATCTAAGAGCCCCTGGGGTCGTCGTTGCCACCTGACAGGCCTCTGAGGGTGCAACCAGCCGAGCTCCCCTGAGGTCCTTGCTAATTTCACCAAGTGAAATAAGTTTAAAAATATTTGCGTGAGCTGGTGCCAGTTCTGAAGACAGATGACAGAAATTAAATTTTTTTCCAGCCAATTCAGATTGAACTTTTTCTCTTAGTCTGAACTTGATGAAAGACACGATAAGAATGTTGCATAAGGCTGCTGCAGAAGTGGTAGAGATTTGATCATTACACAGAATTTTTGAGTGACTGACGTAAATGTTAAAAGAGTGAAATCTTTAATGATTGAGGTTTGGTTTCGGTTGTGGGGCTTTGAGAATGAAACGCTCTCTAAGCTGTTGTAACTTCATCATGTCGATTGAGGATTGTTGACTGATACCATCTGTAGAGTCATCTTTTTTCAGGAGATTGATAGTTTTCATTTTTCCAAACCCATAAATGGTTGTGTCACAAC